TTAAGGGTTTATCCTAGAGTTTGCAATATGCATTTACAGCTAACGCAAGTCTACTTTCAAGTAACACTGTATCACTTCATAGGTAGTATTATTACCTTATAATAATAAAATGATCATAATTCTTCCTTTCTATAATTTATATCATTGCTTTCATTTATTTATATATAAACATACACAAGCATATATATGTAAATGTTTATATAAGATATGTACATAAGCATACATTATTGGATATATTGTTGCTATTATTATCTTGAACAAACTGTTATCTTCTAGATCAATCACAAATAAGAAAAATATTTATTTTACCTTCAGTTATTCCTTCTTCAGTGCTCTCCCTTCATTATGCAGATCTGAATTTCTGATCTATATTATTTTTCTTCTCACTAAAGAACTTTTTTCTTTCAGGCAGGTCCACTGATAATAAATTATCTCAATATTTGTCTGAGAAAATCTCTATTTTTCCTTCAGCTTTAAAAGATAATTTCACAGGGTACAGAATTCTGGGTGGGTGGTTAATTTCTCTTATACTTTTAAGTATTTCACTCCAGTCTCTTGCTTGCAGGGTTTCTGAGGATAAGTCAGATATAATTTTTATCTTTGTTCCTCTATAGGTAAGGAGTTTTTTCCTCTAGCTTTTCTCAAATTTTGTTTATTTTTGATTTTCTGCAGTTTGAAGATGATATCCCTAGGTATATCCCATCTTGGGGGGGATTTTCCTAGTTGGTGTTCTCTGAACTTCCTGGATCTGTGATTTAGTGTCTGACATTAATTTGGGGAAATTCTCAGTCATTACTTTTTGAAATATTTCTTCTGTTCCTTTGTCTCTTTCTTCTATTTCTGGTATTCCCATTATGCATATGTTACACTTTTCATAGTTGTCCCACAGTCCTTGGATATTCTGTCAATTTTTTTTCTTTAGTCTTTGTTCTCTTTGCTCTTCAATTTTCAAGGATTCTATTGATATATCCTCTAGCTCAGAGATTCTTTCCTCAGTCATGTCCAGTCTTTACTAAAAATTCCATCAAAGACATTCTCTATTTCTGTTACAGTGTTACTAATCTCTAGCACTTTCTTATGGCTCTTCTTAGGATTTCCATCTCTGTGCTTACATTGCCTATCTGTTCTTACATTCTGTCTAATTTTTTATTTATTTATTTATCTTTTTTTTTTTTTTTTTTTTTTGGTTGTGGCCTCTCCCGTTGCGGAGCACAGGCTCCGGACGCACAGGCTCAGCGGCCATGGCTCACGGGCCCAGCCGCTCCGCAGCATGTGGGATCTTCCCGGACCGGGGCACGAACCTGTGTCCCCTGCATCGGCAGACAGACTCTCAACCACTGCGCCACCAGGGAAGCCCTAATTTTTTTTTTAAACATCTTTATTGGAGTATAATTGCTTTACAATGGTATGTTAGTTTCTGCTGTATAACAAGGTGAATCAGCTGTACATAAACATATATCCCCATATCTCCTCCCTCTTGCATCTCCCTCCCACCCTCCCTATCCCACCTCTCTAGGTGGTCACAGAGCACCGAGCTGATCTCCCTGTGCTATGTGGCTGCTTCCCACTAGCTATCTGTTTTACATTTGGTAGTGTATATATGTCCATGCCACATTATAGCCCTTAGCATTCTAATCAGAGTTGTTTTAAATTCCCAGTCTGATAATTCCAACATCCCTGCCATGTCTGATTCTAGTGCTTTCTCTGGTCTCTTCAATTTGTATTTTCTATCTTTTGGTATGCCTTGTAATTTTTCTTGATAACTAGGCACAATATACTCTATAAAAAGAACTGCTGTAAATAAGCCTTTAGTAATGTGGTGGTGAGGTGTGGTGGAGAGGAGGCTTTCTAGAGTTCTGTGATTAGGTTTCAGTCCTTTAGTGAGCCTGTGCCTCTGGACTGTGGACCTCACAAGAGTTTCTCAGTTTTTTTTCTCCCCTTTAGGTGAGAGAGGATTATTCCAGTGGGCTGCAGTTGGGTATTTCTCTTCCTCTGGTCAATTAGAATGTGGTAATACCCCAGTAGATTTGGCTCTGATTAACTAGATTCCACCCAGGGCAGGCCTTGTTAAGAAGAACAGAGTGTCCTGGAGTATTTAAGGATGTTTCCGGTTCCATTGAAGCAGGAGGGCATGTTCCCCAGTATTTGCTGTGGGAATCTTATCAAGCTCCTACAGGTAAATTTCAAAATATTGTGTTCCCCCCACCTTTTGGCTGAATTTCCCTGGAGTTCTTAACTCTCAGACTTGTCCTCATTGAGTGTCCAGCAATTTGTCAACTATGATTCAGGTTTCTCTACCCTGGCACTGGCTGCTGGGGCCGTTTCCACTCCTGAGTTTCTGCTCTGGTAAGCTGAGACTCTCTATCCACCTGCCTGTCTCTCCAGCCTTGGGGGCAGCAGTTTGTGCTCTCTCTTAAAGAGAGAGCCTCTCTTAAGAATCAAAGAAAAGTTATCGATTTTTTAGTCTGTTCAATTTTTTGTTTGTTAGGTTGGAGTGGCAACTTCCAAAGCTCCTTAAATATGGAACCTGCAGGAAGTCCTATACTTCTTATTTTACTAAAATGGGAACCTACAAAATTGACAATTTTGTAACTTGATTTTTTTTCACTTATATCATAAACTTGTTCCTTGTTGTTAAATATTCTTTGATGGAATTTTAATTAGTGACAGTATCTTTTATCACATTACACATTTTTTATCTGGCCCTTATTGCTTCAACTGCTCCCAGTTTTCTGCATTATAAACAGTGCTTCTGTGAACATTCATAGAGGTAAATCTTTTGTACATCCATGATTATGTCCTCAGGGTAAAGAAAATAGCTCTTCTTAACCTAATATCACAGATGAATTAGCAGAAAACATCCTAGATACTGCTGCAGTGGAACAACTTACACCTTTTAAGATTTATAAAATGAAATCAGTTTCCTTGTTCTTTCTTCAGTTCACAAAGTGATTGAGCCAGTTCTGTACAACCTTTCACTAATTTGGGGTGTGTGTGTGTGTGTGTGTGTGTGTGTGTATGAGAGAGAAAGAGAGAGAGAGAGAGAGAGAATGAGACTGCTTAAGGAAGTGTTTAAAATTGTTAGAGAAATAAAGGCTGTTTTTCATTTCATTTCAAACAAGACTAGTATTGGGAGAATCTGGAAATCCCAGGTGCTTTTGTACTTTTATTCTGTAACTTTCATAAGACAGAAAAAAAAAAAAAAACCGCGAAACAGAACTCTCTCCTTCTTAGATGTGGCATGGAGACAGCCCCTCTCCAGAGGACATCACTTTTGTTACTCTGCTTTTCTGATAGAACTACCCGTATGAAACTGCTGACTTCACTTTCTGGATGCAGTGAAACCAGAATTCTAGCCAACTTCATCTATATTGCCTTTGACTCTTCTTCCTTTTTATCCTGTCAATTCCCTTTTGCCAAAGACCACTAGGACACACCTGTCCTTGAACTATTTTTTTTGCTAGTTGCAATGAAGAGAAGGCCACCATGGAGAACCATGGGACACCTCAGGAAGACAGTATTAAGAAAAGACTCACTGTAGGATTTAGGGTTGCATTAAATGATTTGAGGAAGGGTTCCTGGAAGCAGGGCTTTGCTATAGTTTGCTTGCTGTCAAAAAGCACATGTAATTTTATGGTTTCGTGTATTAACAACTTATTGAGAAGCAGGGTAACCAGTTGTACCAGTATACTTGAAACTGAGGGGGTTTCTGGGACACAGCGTTTTCAGTGCCCAAACCAAAAATATCCCAAGCAGACTGGGAGGAGCTGGTTACCCTACCTGGAAGGCAAGAGAAGTGAAAAGAGGCTGAGACTGGAATTGGTAAAGAAGCAACATCACTCACAGGAGCCAGGATTCAGGATGTTTGGTTATTTTGTGGTTTGGACAGTGTTCATGTTTTTGCCTGGATTCAGACATGATTACAAAGTGGTCTGATCTCTGACTTGAGCCATCATGGTGACAGGTGGCCTTGTCCGATGGGGATGTTCTGCAAAATTGTTGATGTTCCGTAGGAGAACAGGAGGCCACCTCCTAGCAACACCAAGGCCTTCACACAGTATCAGGCCAGTATCGAGCTGTCAGGAGCTGTTTTCCTTTTCTCCAATTCCCTTCTTTGAGGATTTGAGAGATACATTTGAGGTTGGCCTAAGATGACAGTTGTGAGAGTCTCTAGTGGTGAGAGCCTTGGTTCCAGTCATATTGGTTCTGTGCCCTAATAAAATGCTCTGGGCTTTGAAACATTGAGTAATAAAAGTATTATCCATCTCTCTTAACACAACTCTTCTTCAATAGAGAAAAGTGTCTTAATGATTGAGACGATGCTAAGGTAATAAATGTTAAATGTTTTAAAAATCAAATACTCCTTTCCCTTCTTTGAGATTCAAAATTCACATTAGCATATTTTAGTGTTCTTAGTAATACTGCCATAAAGAAACCCAACTTATTTAATTCAGGACACTTTTTTCACAGAACACATTAACTTTTTGATGAACACTAATATTTCACTAGTAAACTAGTGTTTCATAGAAATACTAGTTTATTTAGTGATTGTCTCCTAGTTATGCTTTTTGTTTTTAAAATTAGAAATATATGTGAAGGGTAAATAATTGTTCTGATTTAAAATGAATAAATTTTCTTAATTATAGGCATTGAAAAGAAATAGCTTCATGTTTTTCAGATTTATTGTTTTAATATTAAGAGACAATATTAAATGGTGGTTGGATTTTGGGGGGGTAAATACTTAACTAGTGGATGAAAATATTATGTATTTGATTTAGTTTAGTAGCTTACACTTACAATACTAGTTAAATTATGAAGCATTATTTTAATTATTAACATTGGTTCATTTACTTTAGCTGTCCTAAACTCAGTTTGGTTGTCCCACATATTGTTTAGCAGTTATAAATAAATCAATTGTTTAGCAATTAGTTTTTATAGCAATGGAGGAAATAATATGGCCTTAGCTATATTGTAATCTACATTCATGAACTTTCCTCTAGGTTCTGAGGACTACCTTGAGGTCATTATTCCAACAGACCTAAGAGTGGAACATTCTGGGCAAATAAGTGAGAGAAAGGAAATTGAAGAATTATCAGAAGTTTCAAGAAGCACCATATCACAGGCAGTGGTGCTTCCCGCTGAGATTCCATGTGAGGTCAGTAAAGACACCTTGTTACTTAAGTGACTGCATTATTTTAATGGATACTGCATTTCACTAGAATGTAACTAACACTAGAAGCTACAACATAGAGGCATTTTTGTCTACTCTGTTCATGGCCATGTCCTCAGAGCCCAGAACAATATCTGGTAGTTAGTAGGTATTTGATACGTATTTGTTGAATAATAAAGTACTGAAACATATATGAAGGCATCATTTTATTAAATGTTACTTGACGCATTACAAACAGATTTACAATTGCTATACATACCAAGCTTTTTAAAAGAAAGTTGGATTCATATTAACCAATTCAAAAACCAATAATTTTATTTTCATAAAAGGAAATACATTCTTGAATAGAATTTGAAAATACTTATTTTTTATGACCACTGATTTTTAAATTATAAAACATATACCAAAGGCCTACATTATGAAGTGGAACTATCATAGAGCTAGAAGAGCTGGTCCTTTGGGGAATAAAAGTATGTTAGAGGGAGTGGATTTCTCAGGAGGTGACTATATGAACACATGTTGCCAACATTTCTTCCTTCTGAGTCTTCATTGGACTGAGCCACTAAAATAAGCCTACTGCTAGAGCTTGACCAAAACTTGGGCTTCGTGATCTCCAGACAATAAAAAGATGCTGGTCCTCAGTGTCTATGGTGTGCTTGACCAGGAAGAGCAAAAGATACAGGACGACCTTGAGAGCTGCATGAGAGGGTCCTTCAGGTGGACGCCAGTAGGTTAATGTGAGAGGAGCTGCACTTGTCTGCTTACTGGGAGGCATATTTTGGAAGAGAATCCCCTGATCCTGATGATACCAGCAGCCCTGGGAGAAGCAGAACTTTCTGTGCAGTTTGGGAAAGCTTAATTCCCTCACCTCCAGACCCCATCCCCAAGCAGGAGAATCGCCGTTTTATTATGTCATCAGTTCCAGAGGAACAAAAGCTTCTTTGACACTCCCTTAAAGAGCCCAGGAAATGAAACTGTACAGGTTTGAGGCAACTGAGATAGAGGATCAGGCAAAGAACAATTACAACCTACTTGAGGAAGGGAGATCAGGCCAAACAAGCAGAACCAGTGGCTCCTATTGAGTCAGAAATAATGCAAGAGACAGAACTAAATAGAAGAGACTATAAAATGGAAATTAGAACTGTTCTCAAGTAGGGAAA